TCGATTCTTTACTAGTCAGATCGGGAAGGCTGCGGCAAGAGTCAGGTTTCCCACAGTAACAGGCTCACAAAGGTTAGCAGCACGGACCCTGGGATTTAATCTAGAAACTCTTTCACCAGGCAGCTCAGTTTTAACTAGTCATATTTCGTCAACTGAAATCATGCATGACACATGAATATATACACAACTGGCCTTACTTCTAATAGGTTTTCTACACAAAGCAAGGCAGGACTCCTTCCCCTAGACCCCACCACTTACCATCAGGGCTTGAAATTCCCGACATTGCTCATTCATTTGAATTTAACACATAAATTTCGGCTTATACCGAAATTCAAATACACTTTCATGGAGGGTATTAGCAGATTACACCATTATCAGCCTTAAACACTCAGCACTAATAGATTCTCTTTCACGTATAGACTATCTCCAAATAGGATTTCAGATGGTTTGTAACAGTACAGACATAATACCAACAAAATCAACCAAGATTGAGAAAAAGATGTAAGTTAAGTAGTCAAAACTGGCAGTAGGTACGAGTGGTCACTATATATCTATCTGCCCACATAAATGGATGGATGGATGGAGGGGTGGGTGGATGGGTGGGTGGATATGTGGGTAGATGGGTGGATGGGTGGATGGGTGTGTGGGTGGAATAATTGATGGATGAGTGGGTGGAAGCGTAGGTGGATGGACAGACAGACAGACTTCCTGTCCATCAAGCCAGAGCTGAGTTACATCATCCTTCTTTAAAGTCAACACAGCAGCTGTGGTGGAAATAGAGCTTTTCCTGAACCCGAGTAATGTGATTCTAAACAATGCCATCAATGAAAGTTTTCCTTAAAATGTAAACTTAGGCTCCATGTGGCTGTGTCCTTACTGGCCCTGTGGGCACAGTGTGGATGCACAATTACACACATTTCCTTCTCTAAGAGTCCAGTTAATGGGGTTCAAGCCACATTGCCTTATCTATTTTTAAAGATGGAGCTAACAGTGGGGTGAGGCACGACACGCACTGCCTTGATGCACACTGCACACACCTTGTCTCAGCAGGGCCTTCCCTGAGGTTAGAGAGAAGGCTGTGAAACTGAGAGCTTTCGGCCATGCAGACAGCAAAGATGTTTTCTGGGAAAGGCAAGGGACCTATCTGTCCACCAGACATACTGCAGGGAGGTGAGAGGCAGGAGGAACCCCAGCGGACTCAGCCTTGGTCTCTGTATGAGTGTCTTCCTGAAACCATGGAGCTCCACCCCAAACAAGCCAAGATCTGGGTTGTCTCACACAGTATTACCAAATTCTCACATATTCCACTGTATATAGGTATCAATAGATTACATTAAAAATGAACCACTGAATAAGTCACATTTATTTCTGGTGCTAGTGGTAAAGAATCTGCCTGCCAATGCAGGAGACACAAGAGACACAGGTTCAATCCCTGCATTGGGAAGATCTCTTGGAGGAGGAAATGGCAACTCACTCCAGTATTCTTGCCTGAGAAATCCCAAGGGCAGAGGAGCCTGGAAGGCTACAGTACATGGGGTTGCAAAGAGTTGGACACGACTGAGCATGCATGCATGCACACACACCGTTTTTGATGGAAGTATTTTATATCATCCATGTAAATGCCAGAAAAACATCTCAGTTCAGTTCAGTTGCTTAGTTGTATCCTACTCTTTGCAACCCCATGGACTGCAGCACGCCAGGCTTCCCCATCCATCACCAACTTCTGGAGCTCAAACTCATGTCCATTGAGTCGGTGATCCCGTCCAACCATCTCATCCTCTGTCATCTCCTTCTCCTTCTGCCTTCAATCTTTTCCAGCATCAGGGTCTTTTCAAATGAGTCAGTTCTTTGTATCAGGTGGACAAAGTATTGGAGCTTCAGCTTCAGCATCAATCCTTCCAATGAACACTCAGGACTGATCTTCAAGATTGACTGGTTGGATCTCCTTGCAGTCCAAGGCACTCTCAAGAGTCTTCTCCAACACCACAGTTCAGAAGCAGCAACACTTCGGCACTCAGCTTTCTTTATGGTCCAGCTCTCACATCCATACATGACCACTGGAAACACCATAGCTGTGACTACAAGGACCTTGGTAGTAAAATAATGTCTCTACTTTTTAATATGCTGTCTAGGTTTGTCATAACTTTTCTTCCAAGGAGCAAGTGTCTTTTTCTTTTTCATTTATTTTTATTAGTTGGAGGCTAATTACTTTACAATATTGCTGTGGTTTCTGCCATACATTGACATGAATCAGCCATGGATTTACATGTGTTCCCCATCCTGATCCCCCCTCCCGCCTCCCTCCCCATCCCATCCCTCTGGGTCTTCCCCATGCACCAGTGTCTTTTAATTTCATGGCTTAAAAAAAAAAAACTACTTCACTGACTATAAGAAAGCCTTTGACTATATGAATCACAACAAACTGTGGAAAATTCTGAAAGTGATGGGAATACCAGACCACCTGACCGGCCTCTTGAGAAATCTGTATGCAGGTCAAGTAACAGTTAGAACTGGACATGGGACAGCAGACTTGTTCCAAACTGGGAAAGGAGTATGTCAACGCTATGTATTGTCACCCTGCTTATTTAACTTATATGCAGAGTACATCATGTGAAATGCTGAGCTGGATGAAGCACAAGCTGGAATCAAGATTTCTGGGAGAAACACCAATAACCTCAGATATAAAAATGATACCTCTTTTATGGCAGAAAGCAAAGAGGAACTAAAGGGCTTCTTGAAGGTGAAAGAGGAGAGTGAAAAAGCTGCCTTAAAATTCAACATTCAAAAAATGAAGATCATGGAACCCAGTTCCATCGTTTCATGGCAAACAGATGGGGAAACAATGGAAACGGTGACAGACTTTATTTTCTTAGGCTTCAAACTCACTGCAGATGGTGGCTGCAGCCATGAAATTAAAAGATGTTTACTCCTTAGAAGGAAAGTTATGACCAACCTAGACAGCATATTAAAAAGCAGAGACATTACTTTGCTGACAAAGGTCCATATAGTCAAAGCTATGGTTTTTCCAGTGGTCATGTATGGATGTGAGAGTTGGACCATAAAGAAGGCTGAGTGCTAAAGAATTGATGCTTTTGAACTGTGGTGTTGGAGAAGACTCTTGAGAGTCCCTTGGACTGCAAGGAGATCAAACCAGTCAATCTTAAAGGAAATCAGCCCTGAATATGCATTGGAAGGATTAATGCTGAAGTTGAAGTTCCAATACTTTCACTACCTGATACGAGGAACTGACTCATTTGAAAAGACCCTGATGCTGGAAAAGATTGAGGGCAAGAGGAGAAGGGGACGACACAGGATGAGATGGTCGGATGGCATCACCGAGTCAATGGACATGAGTTTGAGCAAACTCTGGGAGATGATGAGGGGCAGGGAAGCCTGGCGTGCTGCGGTCCACGGGGTCGTAAAGAGCTGGACACAACTGAGCTGAACAACAACAGTGAAAATGCCAAAGGAAAACTACCAAAAATGACCACGTTTGGGCAAAATTACAATTCAGATGATACTCTTGACCATAACTTGCCAAATCAAAGGTTTCTGGATACCACTCCAAAAACATGAATCCAAGTCTCTGACCATCCACTCAGAGAAAAGTCTAAAATGTCTAAAAGTGAAAATGCTGAAGTGCAAGTTAAATATCAAAGGTCTCAACATTGGTTTACACCATTTAATACAGAGGTTTGATAAATTAGAAAATCATTTTGCCCTCCTGATTCTCATGATGGCATTAGGATAAAACATCTTAAAAAAAACCATTTAAAAGCTTAAATCAATATTAAGATCATTCAACTTGCCCAATTAACAATTTCTGTCTTTCGAGTCAAAGGTTGATAGTGGATACATAAATTCTACGAAAGGTTTTCAAAGATTTTTGACAGCTTTTGTTCCCATTGGTTGAAGCAATTGGTGTTAGAACTATGAATTAGAAGGGAACAGTGATCTGAGAGAGAGAAATGACCCAAGACAGGCTTTAAGGGACAGATGAGCCTAGTGGCCAACACGGTTTGGGACCCTGGGCCATGATGGTGCCACCTGCAGGAGACACAAGTCAAGGTGTCCAGGCTAGTCTTGGCTGCTCTGTGTGAGCTCGGGAGACCCCCACCCGCGCCGCCACATCTCCCTGAGCAAAAAAAGGCAGCACCAGGCTCACCGATCTCCTCCCAAGGCAGAAAGTGCAGAAAAGAAGAAGATGCAAACCAGTGTTCACAATTTCTTCTCATGTCTAGCCTGGTTGGCCAGCCCTTGCTTTAGGTCATGGGGTGGGGTATCTCTATTTTTCTTAGTCCTATTTTAGCATTCTCACCAAATTTAAGCAGCTTGCTGGGGAAATCTGGCCAAGATTAATAAGAAGAGTATCTCATTTTCAGGTTGCAATGTATTTCCATGTGCAGAATTATTTTCCCCCAAAATATGCCATTTAATTATTAAGGCCACTAAGTAGTTGTAAATTTACATCAAAGTGAAGCTAGTGTGCATTCTTAGGGAAGGGCTGTGGGCTACATTTTAAAACAACTTTGAGTGTGTAACTTTTCCATCAGTTGCACAAAGACAAACAAAAGAGTTTATGCTTCATACACAGTCCCACAGTTGCCTCCAGAAGAGTAGAGAAAATTTCCCCAAACCTTTAGAAATTAGAAAACTTTGAATGCTGCTCTAGTATAGAATTTGGACCTAAGATAGCATAAAATATTTTTGCCGCAAAAGCAAACTTTCCATTTTTTCAGAACTATACTTCCATCACTTATTTGGAGAATCATCAATGACGGTCCTAAACAGGCTTATTAAGCCCACAGACTCCTCAGTCCTGGTGGAAATTCCATCAAGAGCAGCAGCATTTGCCGTGTCTCCCCCACTTCCTCCCACCCAACCCCCGGCTTCAGTGTCCCCCCTCAATACGCCCCTAACAGTTGCACCAGCGTCCTCTGGGGGGGCGAAGTCTAAACTCCAAGCATATCCTTGTCCCTCTCTCTCCTTCCACCCCGCAGGACACACCCCGAATCCCGTCCTCCAGACATGCCGGGCTGTCTCCTCCTGCTCAGGGGCTGCTCCAGCCCTGCACTCCGCGTGGCCCGCTCCCTCCCACCACTCGGGTCCAATTCAGATGCTGTCTCTTCTGTGAGCCCTCTCGCGCCCTCCCGTCCACACCAGCCCTGACTCCGTCTCCCTGGCATGCTTTGCACTCCTCCGCAGCGTGCTCGAGGCGCTCAGCGGCCGATCGGTTGCTCCCTGGCTCAGCATCTGTCCCCCGGCCTGGGACGCGCACTCTGTGAGCGCAGGGGGTGTCCTGTCCATCCCAGAATCCCCGCGGCCCACCTAGAGCTGACCCGGTCGGCACCGCCCGGCCCCCGGGGGGTCAGGAGCAGGAACCAAGAGACCAGGAAAAGGACGCACTCAGAAGTGAGCAGGCGGAGGCCTCGGGGCCTGGCTTACAAACTCCGCGGTCCTGTCCGAGCCGTTACCCGGCGGTTGCGCCTTTCTGAGACGGCGCGGTGGGCGCGGTGTACCCTTCCGCGGGGAGGACAGCGGGGACAGGGCTCGGCCCGCTGCCTGGTGCTCACGTTCCGGTTGCGTGTCTCGCTCAGGCTTCCCTCTGCGGCTCGTCTCACTGCCCTGCAGTCACGTGCTCGTCTCCGTCGTCACCCCGGTCCCCCCCACGGCGTCTGGCTAAAGGCAAGGGCCCCCTCAGGCCCACCCCCCAGCGGCACCCACGGCGTGCCCCCAGCGCTGCACTGGCCACAGGAGCGTGCAGCCCGAAGCCTGGTCCCAGGGAAGGGGACTGTGGGCACACCCCCGGTGCAGGGGCCCCTCCGGGGACCCACGGAGACCAGCACACAGCAGCGGCCCCTGGCGCCCGGCCACCGTCTGCCCGCAATGCTGAACGCCACAGGGTGTCTTCCTGCATTCCCTGAGCAGTCCAAGAACCCCTCCGCCTCGGGGCCCTTCTGGAATGTTCTCTACATATGATACCTGCGCAACACACAGAAACACACCCACGCGCGCAGACGACACCTGCTTCACCAGCCTGGGCGGTCCGCACGCGGGTCCTTTGCCTTACTGACGATTTACCCCAGGTCGCCTCTCAACCCAAACAGGTGAGGCACTCTGAGTGCATTCCGATCGCCAGATACATTCTCTTCAGAGCACGTCGCTAGTATAAAGCCAAGTGTGACTTTAATAAAAACGACAGCAAGCTCAGAATTAACTTTCAAAATCTGTACGTGTCACCGTGCGTCATGAGGAAGCTGTAATGGCCCATTTGATTCCACTCAACTGCACAGTCTCAGAGGACAGAGCCTTTATCTTGTGGACGTTCCCCAGTAAGAGAAAGTTCTAGCCAATATCCAGGAGTGGGCCATTACCTGGGACCATGTTCAATTATTAATCTGAGCTTGATGAGGCTACAAGACATCTTACTGGAAAGGCTGCTGAAAAAGGAGGGTTGAGATAGCTGGATTTGTTTCTCTTCCTTGGAAAATGTTCCATATCAACTAAACATCCATCACTTTTCAGCTAATATTAATATTTTAATCACTGAGTCCATTAACTCCAACATGCATCTGTTAAGGACTTGTTATGGGTTCACCATTGGGCTAAACACAATGAAGGTACGAGATACATTTAAGACATGGTTTCAGCTCTCAGTTAAAAATCTGGCTAGGAAAGCAATCTATTTATACTTGAAAACTTTGATTAAATTAAAAATGTATTTTATTTTTTTTATACAGACAGTGGGCTTCCCTGGTGGCCCAGTGGTAAAGAATCTGCCTGCCAACGCAGGAGCCGTGGGTTTGATCCCAGGGTCGGGAAGATCCCCTGGAGAAGCAAATGGCAACCCAGTCTAGTATTCTTGCCTGGAGAATTCTGTAGACAGAGGAGCCTGGCGGGCTACAGTCCATGGGGTCGCAAAGAGTCAGACACGGCTTAGCGACTGAGCATGCACACACAGACAATGCATGCTGTGAGAGAACAAGAGATGCTTCCTGAAAACATCAAGCACACGCTGACTTCGAGGTCTTTGCACCCGCTGTTCCTACCAGATTCCAGAATGTTCTTTGCCTCAAGGGCTCCCTCCCTCGCTGCACTCAAGTCTCTGCCTGAGTGCCCTGCATCAGTGGGTCTTCTCTGACCCTCCATCCACCTGCTCCGTTTTCTTACCAGACAAGCATTTCTTACCAGCGGCTGTTCATCCTGACCGACAGGTGTTCTTCCCGTGTTACCCTCTTCTGTCTTCCCCTCTCTGGAAAGGAGAAGGCAGGAACTTGGTCTGGCCCCTCTCTGCTCTGTCCCCAACATCCGGAAGAGGGCCTGGATCCTAACCAGCATTCAACCAGCATCTCCTTAACTGCTGTTGAAGGAATAAGTCACATAACACAGCTTACTTCACAGCATGACGCCATGTGGATTGCGATGTCTTCCAGGAAAGTCACAGCCACCACGTGAAACTACAGACTTCCTAAGAAATGCGCCTTCCCTCCCAGTGTCAGCCCTGCAAAGTGTGCAGACAGGCTTCATTTCAACCTGCTGATCGCACCGGTGTCCCACATTGTGCTGGACTTGAATACACAGTACAAACACATGAAGACGGATTTACATATGACCAGTGGATAAGGCCAACACCAATTCATCATATTCTAAACTCTGAACATTAAAACCAAGGGTGGTGTTAATTTTGGACATTCACACAGTTTGAAACCAACAAATTCCATATAGATCTGAGCCATAGTTTCTAAATACAGACTCCTTGTTAACATAGATTGGAAGAGAGAGACAAAAGACACTGTACAGCTATATCATCTGCCTCAAGTGAATCAACTGCTATACGATTATAAACTGTCTCCTATTATATTAGGATTTTTCAATTTGTTGTATATATTTGTTTGCTCACTTGTTTCATTTTAGTCCGGAGAGTTTATTCTGTTCTCAGATTGAAGTTGAAACACCTCACATGTGTAGTTTTACCCCAAAGAAATAACATGTGTTCACACAGGCTTCCAGGAGTCTTCCAATTGAGGACTATCGTGAGACGCGTGGAGGGTCAGAGATGAGGAGGGTCAGATGGTTGGAGGGTCAGATGCAGGGAGGAGCCCACCCCATGTCAGGAAGGCCACCCCCTCCCCCAGGAGACCCAACACTCAGGTGAACTCAGTCCACCGGGGCCAGCCTCTCTGAGGACATGGAAGACTCATCAGCAAAATACCCACAGATGAGAACCCTTGTCACTGAGTAAACACTAAAACAACTGCTACAACAGAAAGACTTTCCTGCCAAAACAAACAAAAATGGCTTAGACAGCATCCTCTTCATAATGGAGGAGAGACCATGAACTAAAGGGACTCCAAGAACTGACCTCCAGAGTGAAATACTTTTGCGGTGTTAGAGGGCTCCCTGGGGATAGCTTCAGCTTGACACTGGCCTTGAAAGTAATGTCTAGGGAAGACCCAAGACTTGGGCAGCACAGAGACCTGGATTTTAAAAAGATGGGCGGGATTAGGGGAAACTCCAGGCAAACCAACCTGAGAAACAGAACAAACGTACACTGGTGATGAAGGAAGCCCTTTTTTATTTTCATGTATCTGCCTCCCTGCAGCCCTGCTCACACTCAAGCCATCTGGTCACAGCAAGCCATCTGGTCAACGAACATCACACCCACCCACTGGACAACAGGCAGATCCCTGTGTCCAGGTCCACTGTCATCTCAGATGGAAACGCTGAGGGTAGGACGGGCACCTGACGGTGAAGACCACACTGCTCTCTGTCTCGTCGATGGAGACCACGCTCTGCACACAGCTAAGGTGCAACTCTGTCTCCTTGTTCTGAACTGCGTACGTATATATATTATATTATACGTACACATGGGCTTCCCTGGTGGCTCAATGCAGGAGACCCGAGTTCATCCCCTGGGTTGGGAAGATCCCCAAGAGAAGGAAATGACAACCTACTCCAGTATTCTTGTCTGGAGAACCCCATGGACAGAGGAGCCTGGTGGGCAACAGTCCATGGGGTCACAGTCAGACCTGACTGAGTGACTAACACTTTCACTTTCTCACACACACACACACACACACACACACACACACACACAACCATTCCTGCAAAGCTTTAAGATAGGGAAGGGAAATTCAGCCATGAAATGCTTTACATGACATAAAAATCCCCACTCCCAGTCCTTATCCCACCCCTCAGTACAAAGCAAGTTTTATTAACACAAGGCAAGTGCTCAATTTAAGGAAAACTGTGGGCATTAAAGCAGGTTGTTTTATGCCTCTGACATGAATACTCCGGGTGCATGAACTATTGAGGCCTGGGTTTAAGTGTGATTAATGCCTCATACTTGGAAAGCATCCAAACTTATTAAATCTGATGGAGTAAAACAGCGTAACTTTCTCATATTATTTCCAAGAGATACGATTAGGCCGAATCGCACCAGTGAATGAAACCAGAAGTAAGCCATGGGGCGGGGGCGAGGAACTCAGTTGTGTTTACAAAGAATTAAGAGGAGCCGAGCATTTCAGCAAGCACAGGCAGAGTTCAATCACCTCACCCCAAGGAGGACAGCAAAGCCTGAAACCCACGCCAAAGGTACCTCCCCGTGTCTCCTGTGACCTTCCCACACACGGCCGAGTGTGGCGCCCTGCTGGAATCAAGGGAAAGGCCGTTTGGTCCCTGTTCTCTCCTCCCAGCCCACAGTGGATATGTCATTCATACACACATCATATCACACGCACACATCACACACGCCACATCACACATATACACATATATACACATATATACACATATACACATATCACACGTGTCATATCACACGTGTCATATCACACATGTGTCATAACACACACACCCATGTTATCTTGTATTCAGCCATGCCAGGGCTGAGTGATGTTTAACAGCATCCTTTAAATGACCCCCTCTCCACACAGAACGCAGGGCCTGCACACCCTCTGCTTACAACAGTATGCTTACCACCCCAGACAAGCTTGTCCAAAACTGACTACGCTAAGATTTACCAGTTCAGGTGTTATGTATATTTGGCCTTTCCAATCTGGGGTGCTTCACAAAGACAAGTAGCCCTAAGAACACATCAGATATTCACTCAATTCTTTCACTTGTTCTCTGAATGGAAATGAAACTCCAAAGAAACAAACAGAAGAAAAGTACGGTCTGCAACACGTGACACCCCATGTCCAGCAGAGGGTGGCTCCAGCATGTCCCAGGTGCTCCAAGGGTCACACGAGAAGATCAGCACAGGTGTGTCTGGCCCCTCACTTCAAGGCAAATAGATGCAGAAAAGGACAGTGGGCCGCTGGGCCCAGCTCAGACCTTGTGATGACTCTAAACACTACATAGCCAGACTCTCAGATACCTGGATTTAGGGTGATTATTTGAGAAGGAGAAACATACGAAAATATTTGTAATATCAAAGCCCATCCAAGTCAATTACAAATCTCAGGGCAGATCTGAGACATGGAGGGAAATGCTACACCCCCCAGCAGCCTCTGAACTGATAAAAGAATAACAAATTTTTTAAAATCTGCCAAACAACAAAGCTTCAATTTATTATACATGCTCATCAATTTAACCCAGTAGGAAAAAAAAAAAAAAACTTAAAAGCCTGAGGGTGACGCAGCGCCTTTAATACACAGACCCTGAGCACACCACAGATCAAGGCCCCAGCCCCAGTCAGCTTTGTCTGCCAAAGATGAAAGCCGGGTGCAAACAGGTGAAGGCTCTGTTTGAATCATCACCTGCAATTAAGCAAAGGGAAACCAAGAGAAGAGGCAAGCTGAACTCACTCGGGAAAGACGTCTTGGACGGAGCAGGTGGACACTCACTGCCCCGCCGGCGGCTCCCCCCGCCCCCCGCCGGATCGCAGGCACTCAGTGATTTCCTGCCTGGAAGGACACACAGACACACAGACACATCCCAGCATCTACCCCTCTCTCATGTTTCTTTACATGTATCTA